GTCAGGAGTTCAAGACCAGCCTAGCACAGATGGTGAAACCCTACTAAAAATACAAAAATTCACCAGGCGAAGTGGCAGGCGCCTGTAATCCCAGCTACTAGGGAGGCTGATGCAGGAGAATCTCTTGAACCCGGGTGACAGAGGTTGCAGTGATCTAAGATCATGCCACTGCACTCCAGCCTGGGCGATAAAGTGAGACTCCATCTCAAACAAACAAAAAAAACAAAACAAAATTAGCCAGGTGTGGTGGCCACATGCCTATAATCCCAGCTACTTGGGAGGTTGAGGCAGAAGAATTGCTGGGAACCCGGAGGCAGCAGTTGCAGTAAGCCAGATGGCACCACTGCACTCCAACCTGGGCAACAGGAGTGAAACTCCATTAAAAAAAAAACAAAAAACAACACACTAGAAAGGAAAGAAAACTTGTTTATGTGGGAGGAGTATGTATAAAACCAAAATCCAGGCTGTGTTTCCACAGTGCTGGGAAGTGGCCAGAAAAAGGCTTATGGGGGCTTTGAAACTCTGGTCTTGAGATATAAACTTTGCTCTGACTGGATTTTATAAAATTACAGTGAGGAGGGTACTCTCTTGTCAGAACAACTTGTTTCCAAACATTTATGTAATGTCAAGCTCAGTTTCTCTCATTTTTTTTTTTTTTTTTGAGACAGAGTCTTGCTCTTGTCGCCCAGGCTGGAGTGCAATGGCGTGATCTCAGCTCACCGCAATCTCCACCTCCCGGTTTCAAGTGAATCTCCTGCCTCAGCCTCCCAAGTAGCTGGGATTACAGGCATGTGCCACCATGCCCAGCTAATTTTGTATTTTCAGTAGAGACAGGGTTTCTCTATGTTGGTCAGGCTGGTCTCAAACTGCCAGCCTCAGGTGATCCGCATGCCTCGGCCTCCCAAAGTGCTGAGATTACAGGCATGAGCCACCAAGCCCAGCCTAGACTCTTTAATTTTATCAAACTTTGTTGAATTTTCTAAGTGTCATTTAGGACACATTATGCTTTTCTGTGGAGCTTATATCTTATCCTCTTACGTGCAACAAAAAGGGGGTTGGAGGTAAATGCTGGTGATGATGTTTAGTTTTATTTTCTTTTGATCTGGCATGAGTAAATTGCTCTGTTTCCTTAAGCTTGGTCTATTACGGAGCTTTGTGCCTTATAGGGTACTCAGTGTGTGTTGACAAAGGGAATAAGAACTATCAGTGCCATAAAGAACCAAAGATTCTGGCTACTTTGTCTTCTTCCTTTCTCTCCCACTATGCCTACACTTCCTCTGCCCACTTTTGGAAAGTGTTTAACTGCTGGGTTTTCTTTTTCTTTTCTTTTTTTTTTTTTTAAACGGAGTTTCGCTCTTGTTGCCCAGGCTGGAATGCAATGGCATCATCTCGGCTCACCGCAACCTCTGTCTCTTGGGTTCAAGCGATTCTCCTGCCTCAGCCTCCCGAGTAGCTGGGATTACAGGCATGCGCCACAATGTCCGGCTAATTTTGTATTTTTAGTAGAGACGAAGTTTCTCCATGTTGGTTGGGCTGGTCTTCAACTCCTGACCTCAGGTGATCTGCCCTTCTCAACCTCCCAAAGTGCAGGGATTATAGGCGTGAGCCACCGCGCCCGGCCACCTGCTGGGTTTTCTTTGTATGTCAGCATGGAGTTTTTCCCAAAGAAAGGGAATATGGGTGGAGAGAGAAAGGTTATGAACAGGTTACATTACAGAGGTTATTGCCTTTGAAACTGGGCCCTCATCATTCTAGACTTGCTTGCTTTGTTTTTTTGTGTTTTTTTTTGAGACGGAGTCTCGCTCTGTCGCCCAGGCTGGAGTGCAGTGGCCGGATCTCAGCTCACTGCAAGCTCCGCCTCCCGGGTTTACGCCATTCTCCTGCCTCAGCCTCCAGAGTAGCTGGGACTACAGGCGCCCGCCACCTCGCCCGGCTAGTTTTTTGTAATTTTTTAGTAGAGACGGGGTTTCACCGTGTTAGCCAGGATGGTCTCGGTCTCCTGACCTCGTGATCCGCCCGTCTCGGCCTCCCAAAGTGCTGGGATTACAGGCTTGAGCCACCGTGCCCGGCCAACTTGCTTTGTTATAAATTAGAATAAACCAGAGGGAGATGTGCCAAGTAAACATTTGAATGACTGTTTAGAATATGCTTTTCTTAATTAGCAGTCATGGGGAAAACATGCATTTTTAATTTAGAAAAAAACCTGACAGTTAACATGGTTCTGTTTACCTTGATTAGTGAAGTAATTTGCTGCAGTGTTGTCAGAGGAGCAGAATCATTTGGGTCTCAAAATAGACTGAAAACTTAACTCCCAAAACCATATTTAACAAACAGAATTGGTTATTAGAGATTTATAGGCAAAAATATCAGTTTGGAAATTAACCTTGGCTACTGGCCACCTTAGCTAGATTTTCTCCACAGGTCTGATACTGAACACTTCTCAGATTGGAGAATATTCTGGGCTGTTGGGGATGACAGGGAAATGTGAGGGGGAGTAGCCTAGGTAAGGGTGATGATGAAATTGTTCTATCTGCTGTCAAATAATTGTTTCCTGTTTGCAATGTTTTTATTTTTTCTGAGTCCCTTTGGGAACCAGGTGCTAACAAGAAGCTGTTATGTGTGGGATTTCGGAGCCTTACTTTAATGATAGAGGAACCAAGTATCATTTTAGATGTCTTTTATTTATGTTCTCGGTGCATATGTTGACTTTAATCCCTCTTTCCCCACACCCTGCCCATTAAGGGGGAGGAGGTTAACTCTGCAGATGATATTCAGGCCCAACCAGCTCATTCTCTGGGGTAGCTACTGACGAAAGGCAGAGAACGTCCATCTAACATGTCCTTCTGAGTATACAGTCACCACTTTTTGGGGGGAATTCTTTAGCAGATCTTATTGTTCTTTCTGCAGAAGCTATCATTCCTACCTCCCCAACCCCCAAAATCTCTAATATAGGCCAAGTCATTTTTTATGATGGGTCTCTGAGACAGGGGAGTTTGTTAGAGGAGAGGCTGGGGTAGAGAGGGAGAGAATGGAGGTATCTGAAAAAAAGTAAGAAAAAGGCATTCATTTTTATTTACTCAGAACAGTCCTCTTGGCATCCCAGATAAGGGAAATAGGATTTGATCTCCAATTGTATTGCTATGGAGAGAATGGCAGGTGAGGATGCTTTGAAGTAATTAGAAATTAAATATTGAATACATTAATGGCAATACCATTTCATGATTTTGTATGTCTTTCTGGATTAGTCATGGAAGTTGGGGAAATATTGCTTAGATCTTCTGGGTTAGAGGATTCCAACTGGCTTATTGGCAAGGTTGGATTATTAAGAATCAAATAGCAGACAAAAGTGGCAGGGCATGGTGGCTCACGCCTGTAATCCCAGTACTTTGGGAGGCTGAGGCGGGTAGATCACTTGAGGTCAGGAGTTCAAGACCAGCCTGGCCAACATGGCAAAACCACATCTCTACCAAAAATACAAAAATTAGTTGGGCATGATGGCACATGCCTGTAGTCCCAGCTACTCTGGAGCTGAAACAGCAGAACTGCTTGAACCCAGAAGG